GCCTCTCATCTCCATGGACACCTCCGAATCCTCCGATTCCACTGCAATTCATCTTCTCCGTCGACGGTGACCCCTGCTTTTTTTCACTTCTTCTGCAATCATCTCCATCTCCATCTCCATCTCCATCGATTCCTCCAATTCCTCCAATTTTTCAAATGCAATCCCACGCCAACGGCTTAACCCCCAACACCCACTACTTTAACCCCATTATGCTGCTGCAATTCATCATCTTCGTCGATTCTGCCGCTGCAATTCATCATTCTTACCTAGCTCTTCCTTCTTCGGCTTAACCCGAAAAAAATTGAACTATATATCACATGAGCTATCATTTTGCATCACAAAATTTGATACGATTATGATGACCGTGAGAAAAACCGGTGACCGCCACCACCATCACCACCGCTCAGAGTCCTCTGCAAAGCCCAAGACTGAAGCAGCCACTAAAGCCGCTTCTGTATCTCCAACAACAACTGCCGTAGACAGGAAGCATAAGGGGAGCGTATTCTCTCGCATATGTTTCCCTGAGAAAGAGGCCAATAAGATACGTAAGCTGTCCTCTGAACCTGCATCTTCTTCTGTTCATGACAAGGCAGCTTCCAATGGTTACTACGATGAACATAAGTCATCATCCTCTGCTGCTGCTGCCAAGGCTGTTCCACCGGTGTAAAGAAGAGCAGTAGTAGTGCGATAGATTATGAGTCTAGCGACGATGAGCGGCATTTCAAGAGGAAGCCTTCAAGGTATGAATCATCGCTTCCACCAATGGCTGAGAGGGAAGATGAGCCACGGCACTCAAAGGGGTCTAGAGAATGAGAACGGAGCGGCTATAGTAAACACAGATAGAATGCAGAATGTTGGCTCTGGTAGTGTAGCTGCACTGCTTGCTTCTACTTTTTCCTTTTCATTTTTTTTTATTCTGGCTGCTGGTGCTGCTGGTGCTGCTGCGTTTGCATCCTTGGTGCAGATGAAAAATTGTTGGCATATACACAAAAAACCCACTGATTTTTTGCAGCAATGACAGGTTTTTTTGCTGCCCCTGTTCAAGTAATCTTCTTGGGTTTGTTTGTTGATCACAGTAGTTGGGTTTCACTTCTTTTGTTTTTTTGGTGAACTCTATGTTATGAAATTTTGACATGATCTACTTGGATTAAGGGTAATTGGATCTTGATTTAGCTTTGGATATGATTCATTAACCTCTTGATTTTCTGTTGCAAATGATGTACTGTTAAATTCAGATTCAGTTCACTTGGTTTTGTACAGTTTCCATTATAATCTGATTGGTGTTTGTTTTTTATGTTATTGAATTTTTATGATGATGGGTTGCTTCCTTGAGTAAATGGGTATGGGAAAATTTTGTGATGCAAAATGATAGCTCATGTGATATATAGTTCAATTTTTTTCGGGTTAAGCCGAAGAAGGAAGAGCTAGGTAAGAATGATGAATTGCAGCGGTAGAATCGACGGAGATAATGAATTGCAGCAGCATAATGGGGTTAAAGTAGTGGGTGTTGGGGATTAAGCCGCTGGCGTGGGATTGCATTTGAAAAATTGGAGGAATTGGAGGAATCGATGGAGATGGAGATGGAGATGGAGATGATTGCAGAAGAAGTGAAAAAAGGCAGGGGTCACCGTCGACGGAGAAGATGAATTGCAGTGGAATCGGAGGATTCGGAGGAGTCGATGGAGACGAGAGGCGATGGAGAAGGAATCGGAGATAGAGATGGAGGTGATTGCAGAAGAGGCAAAGG